TAAGGACTTGTGTCGCTAACGTTTCGTCGGAACGAAGTTACGGAAAATCAATTAACAAACGGAGACGTAACAATATATATTCTTTGTTTTCACTCATAAAGTCGTAGAATTACTAATGTTTTCTTCTGTTGGGTGGTTGCTTGATCCACAGGAACAATAACACTAATTTGATGGTTCGCCAGGTCTTGTGAGTGGTTAGAGGGCGCTCGACTCGCAATCTTAGGGCCGCGGGTTCGAATCCCGTCCCACCAAACATGCTCGCCCTTTCAGCCGTGAGGGCGTTATAATGTGACGATAAATCCCACTATTCGATAGTAAAAGAGTAGCCCAAGAGTTGGCGGTGGGTGGGGATGACCAGCTGCCTTCCCTCTAGTCTTTCACTGCTAAATTAAAGACGGCATTGCACGAAATTCAAAACAAACCAAACCAGTCTTGTGAGTGACGAGGAAAGTTCAACGCTAGAAACCGGGTTTCGATACCTGTGGTGGGCAGAGCACAGATAGCCCATTGGGTAGCTCTGTGCTTAACTTCAAAGAACAACGAGGAAAGTTAATTCAAGTAAAAATAAATAAAAATAGGTAGATCATCTTTACCCTAATTCATGAACTTACACTTCATCAACTTAATGTGGTTCACACCGTAACAGTTGTTGTTCGTACAATTACCCTAATTGATGAACTTCCACTTCATCAACTTAATGTGGTTCACACCGTAACAGTTATTGTTCGTACAATTTGATAATATAAACAGTGTCTTAACCACTGTCGAATCCCAGTCGGCCTGATGAACTTTAGTATTATACAAAAGGCCTCGCCGGTACTGGATACAGTATATATAGTGTGATTGGTATATTGTTATACGTTACTCTTTATTCTGAATCATCCGTTCTTAGATAAACTCCCCCAAGATGCGTGTACACGAATGAATAATTAACTTGTGGCAATTGTAATGGAACTTTTTTACCCCTCACAGATAAAGGCCACGTTACTGTTGGTAGAACGAAACAAGGGTTTGTGAGTGAATGTGGTGAAGAGGTTTCTTGTTTCTAATCTAAAGTGATTTCCTTATTATTTATATACTAACTAATTTACATACGAGAAAAGAAGGACAATTGATATATTCAGACACCAGTTATCAAAATTTGCCCTTTTTCTATATATTCCAATGAATATTTTAAACTCGATGAAAAGGACTCGTTTTTGTTAGGAAATCGTTAGTAGGTTATACATGTTGGGAAAAACCATTCGTCCAAGACATTCTCATTGTTAGGATTGCTGTCGGCTATCAACACCCACGATCAGTTCCAGAACGGATTTCACCATCCATTTCCTTAACATCGAAACCCAAAATCATCTCCGCAACGGATACTCAAGTCTTTAAATCCTATTTTTTTACCATAAAATAATAATAAAAGAATACAGAGTCATAAAGAAATGTTTCATATTGTTGGTGAATTGTTGATGAAGCCCAGTTATCGAAAATATTTCATCAAATTCTGTACTAGAGATCTGTTGATACATCTCAAGTTCAGAGATAATTTGATAGGTTCTAACCAGGAGAACATCTGGTACATCTACAGTTCAGAAATAATGTAATAAGTTCTAACCAGGAGAACATCTGGTACGTCTACAGTTCAGAAATAATGTAAAAAGTTCTAACCAGGAGAACATCTGGTACATTTACAGTTCAGAAATAATGTAATAAGTTCTAACCAGGAGAACTGCTGGTACATATACAGTTCAGAAATAATGTGATAAGTTCTAACCAGGAGAACTGCTGGTACATCTACAGTTCAGAAATAATGTAATAAGTTCTAACCAGGAGAACTTCTGGTACATCTAAAGTTCAGAAATAATGTGATAAGTTTTAACCAGGAGAACTGCTGGTACTTCTACAGTTCAGACATAATGTGATAAGTTCTAACCAGGAGAACTGCTGGTACATATACAGTTCAGACATAATGTGATAAGTTCTAACCAGGAGAACTTCTGGTACATCTCAAGTTCAGAAATAATGTGATAAGTTCTAACCAGGAGAACTGCTGGTACATCTAAAGTTCAGAAATAATTTGATAAGTTCTAACCAGGAGAACTACTGGTACATCTAAAGTTCATAAATAATTTGATAAGTTCTTACCAGGAGAACTTCTGGTACACCTCAAGTTCAGAAATAATGTGATAAGTTCTAACCAGGAGAACTTCTGGTACATCTAAAGTTCATAAATAATTTGATAAGTTCTTACCAGGAGAACTTCTGGTACATCTAAAGTTCAGAAATAATGTGATAAGTTCTTACCAGGGAGAACTGTTGGTATATCTAAAGTTCAGAAATAATGTGATAAGTTCTTACCAGGAGAACTGCTGGTATATCTATAATTCATAAATGATGTGACACAATTCTCAACAAGAGAGCTGTTGGTACAGCCGAAGTTCAGGAATAATGTGACACAGTTCTCAACAAGAGAGCTGTTTGAACAGTCCATGGTCAGAAATAATGTGACACAGTTCTCAACAAGAGAGCTGTTTGAACAGCCCATGGTCAGAAATAATGTGATACAGTTCTCAACAGGAGAACTGTTGGTACAGCCCATGTTCAGAAATAATGTGATACAGTTCTCGACAAGAGTGCTGTTGGTACAGCCCGAGTTCAGAAATAATGTGACACAGTTCTCAACAAGAGTGCTGTTGGTACAGCCCAAGTTCAGAAATAATGTGATACAGTTCTCAACAAGAGAGCTGTTGGTACAGCCCATGGTCAGAAATAATGTGACAGTAGGTGGTAACATATGAAGTAGAAACCTGAGTATATAAAGTAGTAGTAGCATTTCATTGTTTTGTTTCGTATCATGTTTTGTAAAATATTATAATGTTGTTTCGTATCACGTTTTGTAAAATATTATAATGCTGTTTCGTATCACGTTTTGTAAAATATTATAATGTTCTATGATGTAAATATCTGTCAGTTATTCTGCCTATGGCTGGTTTGTTAGCTTTTCTGTCAATTAGCCAGCATAAAGTGACTGAGATACTTAAACATTTTTAGAATTCAGTGGTTAGAATATATATATAAAAGCGATTCTTCGGACATATACCAAGATGGTGTTTGAAAATCAACAGTTTTACTGCAGTATTCGAAAGGAGTCACTGAGTAATTTGTTCATTTCTGTCCTAACTTAATGTTTAGTGAGTCTATTTATTTAAATATTACGTTGAGAGTAGAGAGCTAAGTATTGGTTTACTATCACATAACCTATTAACACCAGGCCTAGTTCTGTGATGATTCGTTGAAGAAGGAAAACGTCAAGTTTCAGTTAGTGTTAATTGTATTTGCTTTGATTTGATTACAGTTTTCGTGCGAAGCTAACACGACAGCTATCTGCGGATATTCTCCCTAATTTTGAAGTGATAGATAGCGAATAGCATATACCACTACTTGAGCTACTTTTGTCTGACTGAATATATACCTATGATTCCCACGTAGCTAGTTTATGTGTCAAGGGGACGCGAACCGTTAATCCTTGGTTTCACAGTTCGGGTACTAGGCTTCACCCAGCCTAGAATAGAGGGCAAGAGGCTTTTAGAATACCGGAACCTTGCTTTTTCAATTATAATAAAACAAAAATCATTTCTGACTTCAACTGGAGCACAATATTGTTATTTTTCTGTATAATATATGGAAACACCAAAAATAAATATAAAATTGAAAGAGTCAGCGTAACTTTGTGTTTGCTGAAATCATCAGGTCTGAATTTGAGAGGAACCACAACAACGAACGACAGTATTCGCTGATATTCCATACGTCTACCTGACAGACACAATGAATAACCTGTTATTGTGGCAATGGTGCGGGTGTGGAGCACGTGCTTCGGTCTGCAGCGTATCTTTTCATTTTTAATTACTTTTCGCCTGAAGAGGTCTTCTAGCCATGACATTTTTGTATACAACTAACGAATGAATGCTTCTGACCTTCCTCTGCTTTATGTCTATATTGGTTCCAGCCGTAGAATATGTAGGATGTACTGTAGATGTAGAATGAAACTGGATCATATAAGGCCTTCTACATGAAGTAATCCACATTTAAAGCTGCGGTTCTCAACTTAACCTTTCACTGACCAGGAACTTTTAGAAATACTTGTACAAGCTTATTGTCAGTAGACTGAGGGACGTTTCCGATGTAATATATTATTTTTGTTATTCGCGAAACGGGAAGGTTATGTGTTTTATTTCTTCCCAAACTCAATATGGCACATTTCTTTGAGTGTTTATGAAATTCATCGTTTGAAAATGATCACTCCGGATTCTGACGTTGGTGCTTGGAATATGTCCAGAGGTAAGGAGGGGTGTTAGATAAAGTATACGTTTCGTATGAAATATATAGCGTAGGATGTGAATTGTAAATGTAGCGTGGGTTCTTGGAATATGTCCAGAGGTAAGGAGGGGTGTTAGATAAAGTATACGTTTCGTATGAAATATAGCGTAGGATGTGAATGGTAGATTTATAGTTCCTTAAAATGATGAGCTGAATAACTGCGGAAGCGAATGAGAATTGTTTTATTATACTGTTCAAACACTTATTGAAACCGAACCTGTTTTACAAGTCTCTACTTCCTATCAGAAATGGATTATTCAATCGATTTGAAATGGACTGCACTGACCTAAATAACTAAAGCGTAGTTTTAACTACAGGAAAACGAACGAAGTTTCCATGACATTACATTTTATTTATAAAGGGAATAAGCTTCATATTACCATGGAACGATCATGTGAACGTATACACAACATAATGTTTAGGGACAACAATGGACCTATTGGTCCATCTAGGTTGTCTCATCCTCTAAACTAAACTAAAACTATTACTTAAATAACAAAAATACTTCAAAAACACCTCTTATCATTCATATACTTATCAAGCTTTTTCTTAAACTTTCTTAAGTTTACTGCCTCCACAATATCCAAATGCCAACCACTCTGTTAGAAAAATTAAACTGTCTTAGCTGAAGATGATTCCTATCTTGGCAAAATTTGAACTTGTGTCCCCAAGTCCTACTATTCTCACTGTTAAGAATAATAATAAAAAAAAGATTATGCATCAATTCCATTTACAATCTTGAAAACCTCAATCAAATCCCCTCTAACTCTTATTTCTTCAAGACAAAACAATTTGAGAGATTTCAAAGATTCCTAGTAGAACAACCCCTCCACCCCAGGCAACATTGTAGTAACCATCCGTATCTTATAGTATGTAGTTTTATTCTAGTTAGACTTGTACAGCTTCACTACTTTCTATATATATAATTATGTTTTTTTATGATGGGTTCTTTAGTAGGAAATAGATATTATTGCTTATCGACTCATACAAAAATCGGGCCGGAAATGGCTTAGTAGTTAGCGTTCCCAGGCTATAAATTCGGAGATTCATGGTTTGCAATCCGTTGCCATAAAAACACTCATCATTCTGGAGCCATGGGTGTGCTATAAGAGTGACGGTCAGATAAGAGTAGCCCAAGAGTTGACAGTGGGTACTGTTGGTTAGCAGCTTTCCCTATAGTCTATCAGTTAAGATAGTTCTTATGCAACTTTGGTTCTGAAAAAAAACAAAAAAACAAGCAATCCTAGGAAAAACACTTAAGCAAAAGAGTTTTCTTTTTCTCCCCATTATCTGTATATTAAAGTTTTTATTTGCCTAAATGGGCGATTCTTATTACTTCCTATTCATTTGTTGCAAGATTTTAAAAATTATCAAAAATACAGCTTTCATTTACAATCGATGGCTTCGCTTTCCCAAAGGGACAGCGTTCAGTTTACGGACAACGTTAAACTCCGGGATTTGGTTCCAATGTGGCTTTTTATCAGCATCCCATTACTTCTGAGTTTGTGTCATATATTCTTTTTTATCAATCATAGCTTTACTTCTGAGTTTGTGTCATATATTTGTTTGATCACCATCCTTTTACTTCTTAGTTTGTGTCATATATTTGTTTTATCAATCATCCTTTTACTTCTTAGTTTGTGTCATATATTTGTTTGATCACCATCCCATTACTTCTGAGTTTGTGTTATATATTTGTTTGATCACCATCCTTTTACTTCTTAGTTTGTGTCATATATTTTTTTGATCACCATCCTTTTACTTCTTAGTTTGTGTCATATATTTGTTTTATCAATCATAGCTTTA